TTTTTTTTTGTAATAAAAACCTTCTTGGGCCTTTAAATGATTTTCTTTATTTACTGATATCTTTTATTTGATGACGATTTTGTTAATAAATAAAATTTTAGTGGCACAATTATAAAAGAGACCAGACTTGCATGTATATATATATATATATATATATATTTATATATTATAAACCTTTTTTTTCCTTACTATTACTCAATAAATTAATGATATTAAACATTTTAAACTATGTTATATACTAAAATCTAAAAAATAAGATACTAAACTAAAAGGGTAAAAAAAATTAAATATCATGTTATAAAAATTAAGCACTAGGGAATCGCATGCTAAATACTTAACGTGACGTTAGACATAAGTTTTAAGCCACGACCAGGCCCTGTCCAATGGTTTTGGATGCCCTGGGTGAAGAACCAAAAAGAATGCCCCTACTCCAATGAACCAAAAACTCAAGAAGACACAAATATTTAAGGGGTTTGGAATCTAGTCAAGCTATGCGGCTCATCCCCACGTCAGTTATTATTGAAAAAAAATTACTACGGGAGGACATAAACCAAAACCCCGAACAACAAAACGAATATAAGATTACCTATTCATCTAAAACGGTGCCTTCGTGCATTTCGTGAAGCAAAATCTTCAATTAATCTATCATAGTCAACTTTTACTAAAAACTTACTTTGGATGCCCAAAAAACTTACAGGTTATGGGCAGATTTAAGATACTATCATACTAAGAGAGTAAGATCATTATTGATAGCATAAAAGTTGCTAGAGTATATTAATAGATGTTATTTGTACCTAAACTGTAGTCAGTTTCTGATATAGAATTTCATCACTACATGATGCAATATTGTAACCTGTTTGGTTTAATATTTAATGGAACATGATGCAATTTTGTTTCACTTGTTTTTTCATGATCCACTCAGTTTCACACTTACAAATGGACTCACATTCCATAAGGTTAATTTCAATTTTCACACTTACATGAACAATTGAACATGATGCAACCTGTTTCATAATCCTTTAATCCCTTGTCTTCTGTTAAACAACTAGAATTCTAGAAACCAACCATGAACCATCAGCTAATACTCTGGTTTCTAATCAGTTCCATAGGGAGAAAAATCAGGACGATAGGACCAATTTGAAGTATTATCTTGAATTAACTACCATTCTACCAATATGGTTTTACATCGAGAAATGGTAAGTTCTAGAGATTGAGAGGGAATGCCGATTAGGGAAGGGGCAGACCAAAGACGGAGCGTCGGAGCGGGAGCCAGGAGGGAAGAGGAAGACGAGGACGAACGTAGGACTGGAGTCTGGAGATTAACTGCCGATCAGGGGAGATTGGATTTGGACCGAGGAGGTGAGACTGGAGCCAAGGAGGCGAGGACTGGAGTCGAGGAGAGGACTATAGTGTAGCAGATTGGGCCTAGGATGATGCCCCTTGGGCTGATGATGCCCTCGGTGACAGCCCATGTCGCTCATGCCCAGGGTCGGCTCTGGCCACGATGGCTATCACGACGAGTTTTTTAGAACACCGACAAAAACGAGGGCAATCAGCTTTGCCGCATCAAAAGAGATCAACGATCTAAAAGTATTCTCACACCTCTCATGAAAAAAAAAGTCTTTAGAGCATTTTTAACAGATTTTATAAAATGGAGATTTTGATTAAAAAAAATTCTAACACATTACCCAAAATAAAGAAAATATGAAAGAGTGAAATTCTCCAAATTTAAAAAACTCCAAAAAATTAATTATCATGAGAAAAATACATTCCGCCAATAAAAAAAATCTTAATATTAATTTTTTATTAGAGAAAAATAATATTTTATTAAATATAAAAAAGAAAAAGAAAATCAACGACTATAATATATTATAGTCTTCTAAATATAGATATGGTTGAAGTGGAATGGAATTATTTTTATATAATCTCCATTTTCCTCTAGTCACCCAAAGATGCATATAACATTAAATTAAAACCATATAGAATACCAGTTACAATTATTTTAAAAAACAACCAATTACGGAAACTCTATATTAATTCACTAATATTATTATATTATAAAGTTTTGATTGAAATAAATATAATTTAATTTGATCTAATAATAAAAGTCTTATTTTATTTTATTTTAATCAACAAAATAAGAAGCCATTTGAGTGGGCGATGGCGATGACAATGGCAATGGCAATGGTATAAAGTCCTTTCACTCTCCACAAAGATTTCAATTTTCTACAAGATTCTCGAGTGTTTGTGTTGAAATCAACACCTTAATTTGTGAGGCTTGAATCCCTAATCCATCTTTATGTGTTTTGCTGCTCAGTTTCTGATCATCTTGAAGCTTTTATCGCCATGAAAGATCGCCGGAAACGTGCTTCTCTGCTCCTCATCTCTCGATGCGCCCTTGCTCTACTCTTCTTCTCCGGCTTCACTCTCTCCACTCTTCGACTTCTTTTTTCAGGTAACCAGCTTCTTACCAGTTTTCTTTTCAATTTTTCTTTAACTTCTTTGAGCATCAATTACTTGCTTGTTTAACTTTGGAAACAGAGAGCTACCATCCGAGCTTGATATCTTCATGGAGAACGTCACCGGCGGAAGCTATTTACAGTGATTCACCGGCGTCGAGGGGTTTATCCGTCGGAGAAACGGTGCTGTTTCCAGACCAGGTATTGATTTTGCTAAAATATCCTCCATCCAGTCGTCTGTTGACGAAAGATGAAATCGAGTGCGTTTATTATTCACCGAACACTTCCCGGCCTCACCTGAGGTCGTCGCCGTTGTCAATCGGCGGCCAATATCTCGATCACCAGATCGTACGTTGTGGGATTCCACCACGTGGCACGATCGTATCCGTCGCTTTGAAAGCCCAAGGTGATCTCCCGCCCGGCCCCACGCACGAATGGAAATCGTTAGCTTACGAAGCTATGATCGACCGAGACAACACCACCATTGTATTCGTGAAGGGACTCAATCTACGGCCAGGAAGAGCCTCCAACCACTCTCGGTTTCAATGCGTGTACGGCTCCGATTTCACCAATCGGAAGTCGCGGTTGAAATCAGAAGTTGTCTCAATCGCTCAAGAGATCGTACGGTGCAGGACCCCTTCGAGTCTACTGGGAAGCCCACACAGTCGTGGTTCCATCAAAGTTTCGGTCAACGTAATTGGCAAAGGGATTTTGAGCTCCATTGCCCGACCCGAGTTTTTGGCTTCACCCGACCCACCCGTTTTTATTCAACATCGAGTCTGCATATGCACCATGCTCCGGAACCAAGCCCGGTTCTTGCGCGAATGGGTCATGTACCATGCCCGCATTGGGGTCGAACGTTGGTTCATATACGACAACAACAGTGACGATGAGATCGAAGACGTAATAGAGTCGTTAGCGAATCAAGGTTTCGAGATTACCCGACACTTGTGGCCTTGGATCAAGACCCAAGAAGCCGGATTCGCACATTGTGGTTTACGAGCTCGAGACCTTTGTGAATGGGTTGCTTTTATTGATGTGGATGAGTTCTTACACCTGCGGACCGGGGTTCATTTAGGGAGCATAATCAGCAACCAAACCAGTAGGCCCGATGTTGCAGAGTTACGAATATCATGTCATAACTTTGGACCATCGGGTCTGAAAGAAAGCCCACGAGAAGGGGTCATGGTGGGATACACTTGTCGGTTGAGGCCCCCCGAGAGGCACAAAAGTATAGTCCAACCAGAGAAACTAAACCCCACGTTGATCAACATGGTGCATCATTTTGATTTGCGAGATGGGTTGAATTACGTGAACATAGATAGGAATTTAATGGTGATTAATCACTATAAGTTCCAAGTGTGGGACGAGTTCAAGGAGAAGTTCTATAGAAGAGTGGCTACGTATGTGTCGGATTGGCAAAAAGAGGAAAATGTTGGATCTAGAGATCGAGCCCCGGGTTTGGGGACTCGAGCAATTGAACCGGCTGACTGGGCTAGCCGATTTTGCGAGATCAATGATACAGGTTTGAGGGATTGGGTGGTGAAGACGTTTAGTGACCCAAACACAGGTTTACTACCATGGCAACAAGAAAGAGTTTTGTGAACTTTTTCTATTATTACTAAATTAGGCATTGGATTGATCAAGGTCAAGCTATATATATATATATATACACACTTGATATCATGGTATTTAATCATGTAATGTATATTTTGATTGGTATAAAACATGATTATAGTATATGCATATTCAAAGGAAAGTTCAATTGCAAATATTCTTTTCATTGTTTATCGGGGATAAAAGAGAGGGTGACACATACTTCCGGTTGTGAGATATCTGCGAATGCATCATGTGCTATTTCATATGTTTTTATTTATTTATTTATTGTTAGAATTTAATGTAGTTATCAATATAAAATATATATAGGAGCAATCAAATACAAACCACCTAATTTGTACAAATCGTGCAAACCACTCTCATTCGTCGATTTCATTGTTTAATCTTATGAAATTTTTTCAGGAAATTATTTAATCTTGTGAAATTGTTTCATATAATAAATTTTTTATGAAATTGTTTCATATATGGTTATGAAAATTTTCATATAATACTTAATGAAATTTTAATAAAACTGTTTCATGTATTTATCTAAAATTAAAATAATGAAGATGATAATATACATGATTAACACCCTCTATAATAAAAATGATTAATCAACCTCTCATAATTACAAAAAAATGAACAAAATGAAAAATTATGATTGGTTGAATGAGGTTTGTACGGTTCGTATAAATAACGTGGTTTGCAAAGTAAATCTCTTCTCTCTCTCTCCCCCCTCCTCTCTCTCTCTCTCTCTCTCTCTCTCTCTATATATATATATATATAGGGGTGGGTTCAAATAAAAACCACTCAATTTGTAAAAACCGTGAAAACCTCATTCAACCAATCATAATTTTTTATTTTGTTCATTTTTTTTGTAATTATGAAAGGTTGATTAACCATTTTTATTGTGGAAGGTGTTAATCATGGATATTATCATCTTCATTAATTTAATTTTAGAGAAATACATGAAACAGTTTCATTAAAATTTCATTAAGTAGTATATGAAACAATTTCATAACCACATATGAAACAACTTCATCAAAAAAAGTATTTATGAAACAATTTCACAAGATTAACAATTTCATGAAAATATTTCATAAGATTAACGACGGATGAGAGTAGTTTTTACGGTTTTTACAAATTTGAATGGTTTTCATTTGATCGCTCCTCTCTATATATATATATATTTCAGAGTGTGTTTACTCGGTTCACAATGTGAACCTTTTTGATGTGTTTGTGAAACAAAAAATACACGTAAAAAAGTTTTATATTACGAGTCAAATAGATATAAAACAAACACATTGTATAAAGATATATGTTAACCAATACATTAAATACTATACTTAAATGGAAAACAAAACCTTAAGGTAGAAGTTTTCACGGATCTCATAAATGCTAAAGTTCTAAATGATTAAGCCACTATACAATGGTTCAAATGAGAACACTTTCATCTTACGATAATGCAAGAACACTCTTTTGCTTTATATTTCATCACATGTGTACTAAACCATATATGTGGACAACCTTTATAGGGATTTAGGTTGTAGGCTAAGTTGCCTCTACACTAGTAGGCCCCTCACATGTATTATCACATATGACAAGAGTGTTATTGATGTGATACTATAAGCCATCACATGTGATAATAAATCAAAGATGTAGACGACCTTTGATGTGACCTATGTCGTTGGACATGTCGTCCACACACCACCAGGTCCCTCACATGTATTTCACGTGTTGTAAGGGTGTTGTAGCATTTTCGTAAATGAATGTATTATAGTTTGAAACTCCACCCCCCCCCCACACACACACACACATATATATATGTATATATATATATATATATATATATATATTATATCAATACAATCTTGTTTAATAAAAGCAGTGTGAGTATCTGTGGAAGAATTGAAGGTAGGGGTGGATGTGTGTCCTAATCTGATATATGGAGCATCTTTTGCAACTTGTGGAATGTCTTTTTATTAATTTAGGGGGTAACATGTAGAATAGTAATTGGTGGATATCACATGATAATGTTGCTTTGGTTCCACCTTTTTACCCTTTCTGAAAGCAAATGAAATCTATGAATAGATGTGGAAGAAAACCAACAAAATGATTTTGGTGTTCAATGGTACAAACATCAAATTATTGCACGAATTAAATGCATTTTGATGCCATCTTGTAAGAGAACAAAAAACCGAAATCAACGGTGCATGTTTCATCTGACAGCATCATTTCAAAATAAAAGGAAACATAACCGTATAAATATCAAATCAAACCAAGAAAAAGCAGTACATTCCACTCAAAAGCAGGTTGGAATATAAGCAGTACATAAACTTAGAACATCCATATGCTAATTGCATCCAACTCTAAGCATCTCATATGACCTAAGATGTGTGTCAACTCCATAAAATATATCAAACCAAACAAACCCAATATATCCCACTTAAAAGCAGGTTCTGAGACGGGTGAGATGTATGCAGTCCTGACCTCTACCCCCTAAGGATAGACCGGTTGTTTCCATGAAACGCCCGACTTGTGCAAAAGGGTGGTGAGAAGGAGAAGACAAGGACAAGAAGGATATCAAGACTAACACATATTAAGCAACATAAAAACCAAAAGAAGAAGAAAAGGAGAGAAGGTAAAAAGAAAACATATATACGAGAATTTCCACCCTCAACTGTCTACTCCCTCGGTATGCACTTAAACCGAACATGTAAACATGAAAGACTATAAGGGGCTGTTTGGTTGGTTTTCCATCAAGTTCCGTATGGATTAAGCTGTCTGTGTGGATTAATCATTCTGTATGGATTGGGAAGGTTTTTGTTTGAGAGGGTTTTTTCATAGATGGAAGAAACATATTTCTTACTTGGAAGGGGCAGGTTAGGAAAAAACTTGGTCATCTGCATAAAGCTCCCCCCTAGAAACTTACTGAATAACCCACTTTCTATATCATTAAGCCACTACCAAACAGTCATGTATAGCTGACAGAATAAGCCGTGAATCTCATTAAGTTCATTAAGCTACTAACAAACAGGCCCTTAGTCTACATGTGTAAACTGAAAAGATTATAGAAAGAGAGATTCATTGGATTTAGAAAAAGAGATTCATTTAATTAAACCCATCTGCAACCAATTGTATGTATTGATACAACGAAAAAGAGAAGTCTGCTAGAGTGGATCAATCAACATGGGGATCTCATAACTCACCTAAATCCTAATCTCCTGCAAATTGTCTATCTTACAAAAAAGGGACATAACTAGAACATGTATTTGCAAAACTGAGGCAATCAATCCAAGAATACAGAGATCAAAAGGACAGCCCAGTTATGCTCATGGTCACAATTCTATCCCTCTCTTCAATCTCAGTTGCCAAAAGTTGGCCGAGTTGTTATGTTGCTTCTGCTAATAAGAAAACTCATGACCCCTAAGTGAAATGTATTTCTTTACCCAAATAGAAATATCATCAGCACATGCCTGTGCTTCAGGGGTCCTAAGAAGCATGTCAAGAGTCGCAAATTCATGAACACAATCCTTGTAATCCAAAACTGGTGCATCAACATTTACCTTCTTAAGCTCCTGGGAGTAAGCAATCGCACGGTCCCTCATCCAATCATGTTCTGCTACAATCGTCAACGTAGGAGGCATGTTCTTCAAGGGTGGCCCACCTCTGTTGGGAATCAGGGGGTTGGCTGCAGGGTGGTCCAGACTAAACTCCTCCTCAGGGAGGAAGAGTCTCCATGCAAGTATGCACATAGCCCTATCGAAGAAGTAAGAATTCGACAGCTTTATCTCGGAATGTGTGGGAGTATTTCCAATGAAGAATGGATACATCAACACCTGAGCCACCACCTTAACTGGGTCCAATAGTTTGCCAGCTTCTACAGATTTGCGGGCCACATAGTCAGCAATGTTTGCACCACAGCTCACTCCAAGAAGAACACATCTGTTTCAGTGTCCTCAAGTTGAGTTAAAGATGATCTAACATTAAGAAAATTATATCATTCAGGTCATTCATGTCATACAAATAGGGGAAAGAGTGAGTACATATAGAAACATGATGGTTTTCCACACGGGTCCTATGGTTTCTGCCTTTAGTTAACATGTGACGGTTCTTCATTATTTCACACTTTGAAGCATAAATGATGGAATATCCATGAAGGAGTCCAGAAGATCAATCCAGAATCTATACCCATGAGCCAAGCTCATTTAATGACTTCATCAATTAAACATATTAATCATTTCCACCCTCAAGTAACTTATTTTGAATTCAGATTGTTTCTTCTATGTTGACTTGTAATTTAAGATCACCGCTTATAAACTGATAACTGTAACATATATGTGGGTTTCCTTCATCATTTTATAGTATCATCACCTGGGGCAGCAAAGACCAAACTCACACCAATATTTTCTCATCGTGTCTTAATTCTACAAAAATCAAAAACTTAGTCCACATTGTATCTGCACACAGCAAACAACTAACAGGTTACTGTGTCCAAAAGTGCAATGTGCATGATAAGCACCTTCGCGGTAATTGCAGTTTAGGCCCATGGGTCCGGTAACAGACTGCTCTGGGGTTCTTGTCCCATTCAAATTTTGTGCACATATTCTTTCTGATATATAGATCCGTGAATCCATATTTTTTGCTTTGGCCATGAATTCACGATGACCTAGAGATTTAAGGAACAATCCCAAGATATTATTTAGAGTAGGTCAAAACCGCTGCCTCATGGATATGCTTAATTGTGTGATGAATCTAAAAGCCTCATGGTTATGCTTAATTGTGTCAATCTAAAGGCTCCCTTATCATAGATGTGTAAGCATGCCATCAATCAATGCCTTCTTCCCCACCATTAACCAGGAACTGAGAGCAACTTAAGGTGTCAATTAGGTAGATCTTTCTTAATCATAAAACAGATAGTAAGAGATGCTAAAGAGTGCTCCTTGATTACTTTCTTTACGCTTTATTTTTCAAGAATCGCGGTTGGCTCAGCATATAATTCGACACACAAGATAACTTTATCCTCAATTTTGTCCAAAGATATTCCTGTGTAGCATGCCTAGCACATATACAAGTATATCATTATTTCAGTTTTGTCTCAGCACAACCCTCTAATGAAACAGAGTTCAAACAGTTATGTGTTTTGCATCTAATTTCTGGATGATCTTAGTCCATGATTCCTTCTTTAATACACAACAATTGAGGAATCACTATCAACTATAAGTAAAACTATATGGTGAGAGAAAGCTACCTTGATGGATCTCCATGGGCAGCTAGCCATGGCTCTACCAAAGAAGCCCCGAATGCATCCATGATTTGCCCTTGAGAATCCGACTTTTTCGACTCAGGCGTTCTCCCTGATGATTTGCTACATTCTGCCAAATTCACTTGCTTGGCGAGCCAATGCAGAGCCTTCATCCCATCCTCAAAGGCTGCTGGATACTTATTCTCAGGCGCTAGCCTATATCCAACCGCCAAAACGATCACATCACACACTTTAGCAATCTGCCGACAAAAGAAATCGTTGGCCACAGAATCACAGCTCCCTGCCACAAACCCTCCTCCATGAAACTGAACCATCACTGGCAGTTTCCGACATCGGCGAGTAAAAGGAGAATAACCTCCGTACACGCCATTCTCCAATTTCAAGCTGATATCATCAGTACTGAGACCATTTCCATAACTATTCCTCCGATTGATTGGAGAAAGAGCTGCTGCTGCTGCCTCAGCGGAACCATAACTGTTACGCCGGGGAATACCACAACTCGAGTTGGTTGGAGTTGAGTCCCTCTGAGATCCGGGTCTCTTAGCCGTAACCCTAGCTTTAGAATGGGGATCCGTGGAGACAAGACAAGTTTCAGGGAGGAAGATACGGAGGGCAAGGGAGGTAGAAGTCTCTATGTGGATGTCTTTGGTGGCTACACCGTCAGTGAACGAAGGATTAGCGGCCGCAATCGACTCTTCGGGACGGGATGTAACGCCGAATGAGCTGTTCTCATCGTTCAAATTAGGGTTCTGGATTCGATTCTGTAACCGTCGCTTTAATATCAATTTGAAAAACACACTGTATAATTTCACAGCAACGCTTGGCATTTCTCAAACACATACACACACACCCCTTTTCTATCTCACTTTTTAAATCCTATTTTACTGCAACAAAAACCTGTAATCCAAAGTTCCCCCTCTCTCTCTCTCTCTTATGTTTCAAGATCAACAAATAATGGGGACAGATCATGACATCTCATTAGGGTTCTTCTTGATCAGTGAGGAACCCTGTCACCAGCCATGGAAGATTAGCTTCGATCGGATGCTTCAATGGTGGATGTCGACAGAGAGGGGTGATTGATTGTGCCAGGTGCGCACACTTTCATTTCCTGTGTTTTTTCTTTGGGATTCTGCTTTCTATTTTAGTGAAGTACAAAACTAGTCCCTCCACATATCCTTAATTTACATTTATTACTTCCAAGTTTTACTTTTTAGCATTTTTGTAGTCTAGAATCATCAATTTTATTCCAAGTAAATGGTCTCTTGCATTCGTTCAACCGATTTGCAAATGTAATCTTTTTAATAAAAAGTGTCAGTGATACTCTGAGATATTAGAAAATATACCTAAAAAGTCTCTCAAAATGAACCTAAAACCCCAAAAATCTCGAAATCAACCAAACACAGTCTCTCCATAATAAATTAAAAAAAATACTTGAAACCAACCAAAAAAAAACTTCAAGATCTCTTGAAATTTGACTAAAAACACATCAAACGATTTTGTACATCTTTGATCCATCTTAAAAGTACAACAAAAACCTCGAGCCACCGCTGCTAGCAAGAGCCCTCTTGTCACTTTGTTTTGGTATAAAACCATTTTCGGTCAAGTATTTTCTTAACTTGTACGTCTTTAGATACCAGTCAGACTTTTATGGAAATAAAATGGAAAAAAAAAAAGATCCTCAAGGATGGAATCTGTCAATTGAAGATTGTTTAGGGGCTAATCTTGCACGACAAAAAGGGTGTTAGCTTGTGATGGGTATGAGTGCGATAATTATGTAAACGTGCTTTATGTGTTGTAGAAGGAATGAGATGACTTTGGGTTTGGGTAAGATGACCACAAATGGGAGAGATTATCTTTTTTTTTTAAATAGGAAAAAGAAGATTACATTTTTCGAGGGTAAATTCGTAATTTGACAGACAAAATCTAAAACCGTAATCTAACTTTTGGTTTTTCAAAATCCATGTTTTTCTTGTCTAAGCGAATTGATGGAAACAAATTAAGGGCATGTTAATTTTTTGTAAATTGACTATTAATATCTCTGAATTCTGATTCATTGAAGGGCGTTTGTTTTTTTTTTAAATAACAGTTTAAAAACTCTAAATGTCCTCTGAAATTTTAAGTGGTAAAGGCTCTCTACCAAATTGTTCATATTCTGGAGGCTGGAAGATGTTTGTTAACAAAAACTATTTATCTTTTTATACTTTTGTAGAAAACTACTTATCTTTTATATTTTTTGTATTAGTTTGACCGATTCAGATTTCAGACTTCAGACGGAAAAACAAACAGTATTACAGCTCCAGATTTCAGACTTTAGCACCACCTCTTATAAATCAGAAGTGAAAACAGACTTCAGCACTTCTTAAAAAACAAACGTCACTTGAGAGGGTGTTTGGTCCAGGCAGAGGAATGAAAATGAGAATGAATTTTCATTCTCTGAGTTTAATCAGGAATGAAAATTTAGGTTTATGGAGGAATGAGTCTATTATATTATATAAAACCAAATAATTTCTTTTATTTCCAGTCCCATTAATTGTTGTTTAATACCTCAAACCAAACAACCACTAAGAAATCTCTATATGATGATAAGTAAAGAAACATGAACATTTATAAACCCATACCTTAAAAAAACCGCAAGTTGCGATTTTTTTTTTCAGAAAACGTAGTTTTTTAGAAAAATTTAACACTACAAGCAAAAGATGGCTTACGATGTTAGTCTAACGGGTCAATGGACAAAATTTAAAATAAAAAAAAAAGAAATCCATTGGCTAATTTGTGGGTGTAATTAACCAAATACAAGATAGCTATTTGGTTAATTACACCCACAAATGGTTACCCTTTTTATTGCAAATGCTATTTCTATTTTCATCTCCTTTCAAATCAATACAACAATTTTATTATTTTATTTAAGATTTTATTTCTTATTATTACTTATAGAGTAAATTACAGTTTTGGTCATTTTGTACGATTATGTTCATGGGGTTTGTTATAATTACTATGGATTAAAAATGTTTATGGATTAAGTCCTTGATCCCAACGTATGTTTGTTAGTGATGCTAGTTAAGTCCTATCATGTGAGGACATTTTGGTCTTTTTATCATTTTTTTTATCTTATTTTTACTTGTTATTAATTTTTTTTTTAATATAGATGTTTAAAGCATGTGTACAACTCTTTATCTCTCTCACACGCACACCCACACATACAACTCCATTAACGGTGAAACGCTTCCCATTTTCGTTGATCCCCCTCTGAATCACATGTTTACAACGCATCTCATTGAGAGAACACGCGTGAGTGGGCCAAAATCCTTTTGGGTTTTGACGATAAAACCTTCATTCATGGGTTCTCTAACTTGAATTATGTTTCTTTTCTTGGTTTCTTGATTTGTTTTATCCTAAAATCCTTCTGGGTTTTATGAAGAAAACGGCACTAAGCTTTGTGGTTTGATTTATGAACGATGGAGATAATTCATGGTGGTGTCCGATTTAAGGCTAGTGTTTTGGAACTTCAACAAACACATATATGTTTTAAGAGCTATTCATCGTGTTCCGTCACTAAATGGTTGGTTGTTAGGAAGGTCAAAGATGGACACCGCCATTTTACTTGTTGAGACCACCACCAATTCCCCTGCTCTTCGTTTGCTATCACAACCACCACCTACATCCCCCTTCGGTTAATCGGACAACAACAAATCACCACCACCACCACACCACCTTCTCATGTTCAGGCTCTTTCTTTTCGACATCTCTAACGGTGTAAATCGAACCATGAAGAAGTGCGAATGAGCTTTAAGTTTTTGATCAAGCATACATGAGTTTTGTATTTTTCAAATTCTTCTAATGAATTTATATGGACTTATTGTATATGCTCATAGTTTTTGGATTTGAATTTACACAAACTCCTTTGTTCTTCTAGGCTTTTTGAATGTTTGGTTGAAGAATGATCAACTTTTTTGGCTTTTTGGTGGTGTTATGGGTTTTTCAACCGTGGAAGAATGTTTTTTTTTTTTTTTTACTGTTACTCAATGAGTCCACGATATTAAACACTTTAAATTAGGTTAAGACATACACTAAAAGGGTAAGAAAAACTAAATATCGTGTTACAAAAACTATCCATTAGGTTATAGCCTGCAACAAGCTTAACGTGGTCTCAGATACAAGTTGTCGCCACAAGCCTTTTACAACACATTCTTCGCCACAAGCCTTTTACAACACATTCTTCAAACATTAGTTTTTTTTTTTTATTAACCTGGATATCCAACCCGCTATGCAAACCGATTAATCCCAGGGCGACCACCTGCTTTGCAGATAGTCCGGAGTCACCGTATTTGAACATCTATGGCCACAAGGGGATTTTTATTCTCCTTGGATTTGAACCTGAGACCTCCTGATACTTTTGATCTTTGGAGCTAAGCTCAAACCAATCAAGTGTGGTTAAAACAAACATTAGCTTTTAATCACACCTATAACTGCAATCCATAACATCAACACATATATATATTTTCTTTTACTACAAAATGAAAACAAAATACAAGTGGATCAAACAAATGAGAGATAAAAAGTAATATGATACACATTAAAAATAAAAAATAAGGAAGGAGTACAATCATAGGATCAAATCAATTCAGAGAGGAAAAAAACAGAAACAAATTCCTGGGCAGGAACTCCCTTTTTGACACCAACAACAAAATGGTCAAATTCAATAATACCCCATTCCATATCTATATATATATATATATATTTATGCATATACACATTCTTGGAATTCAAATCATACCCACACCATCATCACCATTTTTGCTGTTTCCTTCATAACATGTAAGAATGGTTGGTCACCTTTACCTTGCATTGGTGGATGATCTCTTTGCAGCAATCTCTTCTAAGCGTTTCCATATCGCTTCACGTTTCGCCTTGCTTTCTTGCTTTCGGGATTCGTCTTCTTTGAACTTTTGTAAGCATTCCTCGAAGAGTTCAGGGTCTGCATCAGAGAAGATCTTTCGAACGTTTAAAGTAAGGCTTCTCACGGCTTGGTTCCAGTGGGTTTTGGTGTTCCTTTCCAAGGCAGGGAATATGATGGGCAGGATTACTTTCCGGTTCTGTTTTATTAGGTTCTCGATATGATCATTGTTCCACAGGAACAATGCTCTTTCAGCCACCTACAAACACCATCAATCAAAGACTAATCAACATACACTCAGAAGTTAATACCCCCTCCATCCTATGGAAATTGCAACATTGCCATTTTTGCAACCTTTTAAACTGAAAGTTACATGCCCATCATTGTTACAAAGAATTGACAATATCCACTAAAACGACTGTATTCCCATTGTTGGAGAGTAGTTGAAAACATTAGACTAATAAGCGTCTGCTTGTTGGCCGCTTAATCGTACTCAACTTATTTGGTCAGCTATACATGACCGTTTGGTAGTGGCTTGATGATATAAAAAGTGGCTTATTCAATAAGCTTCTAAGGGGGGCCTTATGAAAAAAGCCAAGTTTTTCTCGGAACCCGCCCATCCCAATTAAAAAACACGCTCCTTCCATCTATGAAAAAACCTTCCAAATCTATTAAGAGAGACTAATCCAAGCAGGATTAATGGAAAGCTAACCAAACAACCACTATAGTCAAATACTTCCATTAAACTATATGTCCGCTAACATGTTGAAATTTCCCTTGGACTGAAGTAGCATTTGTAAATGGCTATGTGAAGAGGCCGAAAGCTACAACAGCTTTCACCACGCATATATACATGAACTCATAAACAGTTTTCCAAACCACATGCCTTAGTTCGATAATTTGATGACTAGTTGAAAAGTATGTGTATTTTCCACACAAGTGTGCAGGGGAGGATCCAGTATTGTGAAATTTCTACCGAATATAGGTGTCTTTACAAGTAAGGTGTCTTTACAAGTATGGTGTCTTTAAAACTGGCCTCTACTTTAGACACAAAGATGTTATAGTGTGCCAAAATTCGTGATTATTTATCAAAGACAAAAGTTAAATTTAAGAAATTGGCTATATAATAATTACTGTACAAATATGCTTTGGGAAAAATACGTCATGGAAGTGTCAACACTTCGAAATCATCAAATGAGAACATATTACATCCCAGGTGAAATTTTTATCAATTTCTGAACATGGGTAAATCATAATAGATACTTATAGCATCAGACAAAGACTAATGCCACAACTGATGGAAACAACCACCTAAGAGCATTAGGTAGACTGTAAAGGGTATGATAGACATGTACCTCTATATATTTTCGTTTTCATCCTCAGAATCAATTTAATTTTCTGTGATTCCGTCCTACAAAAATTTCCCCTATAATATCCTTTTTAGCTTCTGAAAGGGTATGATATAGAAATTTTCCTTTATACATTTACCCAGGACACGAAAAGGAGGAGAGAGATGCTTATTTTAACCTTCATGTGGAGCCCGGTTGTGGTATAAGATGCTGTCTTCACAACTCACAGAAAAAGAATCACTCTCACTCTCAACAAAAAAAGAAAATGATATTTGGCCGATAGTGAACATACAATGGCGACCAGACGAGCATTTCCCTCTATTAGGTTGAAGCCTCGCATGACTAAGAAAGGTCCGTCTGACTAGGCTTGCCCAAGCGGATGACTTGCATAGAAAAATCTGGAAGTCCTAGGTTCAAATTTCACACTTATGTATTGTCCAATGAATTACTCGAGGTACATCAAAAAGGACAGCTGGCAGAAGTTTCACCCTCTTGGGAGTGTTTTCAAGGTCTTCTGAATAAGGACTTGCTACTTGGGAAGGTACATGATACAAACTCGTCAACCTCATGTGTCTACCATCCCTACTAGGCGCAGTGTTTCTTCTTCTTTTCTTTGCTTTCAGTAAATAAGTTGCCTAGTACAATATGAGTCTGCTGCTAATTAGTAGTGAGGTAACATAAGTTGTACAATTTGCTTCAATAATTTGTACAGCATTTGCAAAGTATATAACTCAATATTCACTGTGTCTCGATATATTAAGGATGTATACAATAAGTTAAAAAAATTATAATATTCAATCTAAACCTTCGGTTAATCTTTAAAACTCTCATTCTTTTGTAGCTTAGTGGCTGTTTGGTTGGTTTTTCATCAAGTAATGTATGAATATAGCTGCCTGTGTAAATTAATCTATCTGTATAGATTGGGAAGGTTTTTTCATAGATGAAAAGGAGCGTGTTTTTTAACTGGGAGGGACAGCTTTGGGAAAAACTTGGCTTTCTGTATAAAGCTCCCCTTAGAAATTACTGAATAAGCCACTTTCTATATCATTAAGCTACTAAAAAACAATTACGTATAGCTGACTGAATAAGTTGAGAGTCCCATTAAGCTTATTAAGCTGCTTACAAAAAAGCCCTTAGTCTTGCAAGGCCCTAAATGGCTCGTCTAGCCCTGGTGCTTGAACCAGCTTTAAAATGACAAGTCCACCTCTTCCAAAGGGTACTCGTCTAGAAGGGCATAAGATGTATGCTATGAAAGAACTCTATTACAGTTAATGTTTGATGGTTTCCCAAATCCATTGTCCACACCCTTTCTCTTTGTATCTGCCCGCTTTTTCATTTTCTTGGCTGCGTCATAGAGATAAGCCCTTGCAATCGCAGCTTGATCCTGCGAAGATTTTGCAACGTGGCACTTAACTGCATAAGAGGATGATCGGGCTGTAGGGATTGGCCATGGGTTTTCCCTGGTACTTGACTACGTTTTGAAAAACAACCAAGCTACTTCTTAGGTCAAGCAATCACTTGACACTTGAAATAAGCGTCCCGTACTTGGAGAATTGATCCATAACCACCAAGATAAGGCCATCAAATTTCAGTAAGCAAGTCCGGTTAGACACTTTCCACAAACATGAATAGGGAGTGGCTCCAAGAGTCCAATCAGTCCCCTTAGCTCCAACTTGTCTTGTTGGCAAACAAGACTTGTCAGTACGTCGGCATCTACATCATCCCACATGTTGGGCCAATAGTAGCATCCCCTCCTAAGTCCTAGTGCACAAGTACTTTGAGCTCCGACGTGAGTCAAGGGTGGACCTATGTATGTTAGAGCGGGCTCCCGTGCACCCGTTCAACTTATTTTTGCAAGTAGGATTTTTTTAGGTATGAAAGGTGCACCCGCTAAACTTTGAGAGGTGCTCCGAGATATTAGAAAATATAAGAAACATCAACCAAAAAACCGAAAAAAGTATCATGAAATCAACCAAAACAGAAAAAGTCTCGAAATCGACGAAAAAAACACAAAAAGTCCCCAAAATTGACCAAAAACTTAAAAAATCCCTCGAAACAATGGAATTCGGCTAAAAACCCATGGACGCCTTTGCGGGTCTTTGATCCACCTTAATTGTGCACCCACTCAACAAAAATCCTAGGCCCATCATGTGACCAACCCAAACCAATCCAGTTTAAGTCATGGCGTTCCTGAATAGCTTCTGGACGTAGTCCACTCCACCATAACACTTAAACCCGAATTCCCTTGGTGAAGAGCAAGCCTCTTTTCTCTCAGAATCTTCAAGGCTTCAACTTCATCTATGCTTGGCCACATCCATCATGCTTTTGGCCATGATACCATGGTTGAGATCTTCCTTTATCTAATCTAGCAGTGACGCCTTAGTTGGTATTGAGTTTGAAAATAGTTTGTGGTGACGTTATTGGTCATCACCAACAATCATGCATCCAAGAGATAATTTCTCCAAGTGCTAGGCCAATTGATGGCCCCACTATCTCCTTTTGGACTGTATACTGCTCGTACCTTTCAAATTTTCACTTTCATAGGTTATTGGGTGTCGGTCCCACACCAATAGCAAAATCTGGATATGTGCCTCAAAAGGCTTGAACGTAATGCTAAGATCGACTCCTTGGTAAGGAATGCCTTTAGATCCGCAAAGGCCTTGTTGCAACGTTTGTCCCACTCCCATGTATAGTTCTTCTCTAGGAGACTTGTAGTGATGTGATTCTTGCCAAGTATGACTTGATGAAGCACCAAGTCGTGGACTAGTCTCCTTTGGCAAGTCCTACCTGATAATATCCCGAATGAAGATCCAAGTTGGTAAATTGTCGAACCTTCCCGAATCGGTCAAAGAAATCTAGAAGGGGTGGAATGGGATATTTGTTCTTCATTAACACCTTTTTAGTGCCAAATAGGCGGTCCTTTCTCTAGAAAGATGCTAATGCATTGTAAGGTGCTTTTGATGGTAAGGCGTTTATTGGGTTGCTTACTTAGTTCTTCCATATGACTAATGCTCATATCTTACAAGACAACTCCATCCAAAGAACAATTTTGAAGTCATCTATGGGTACAATCGAGAAGTCCACTCGTCCCCTCGATTCCCCGACACACTTGTGCTCCTCATGTTATTTTGTAAAGCCTTTTCTTATGAATTGATAGCCTTAATGGTGCCCCCTATTAACGATCTTAACTCTCAAGTTGTCAACCATTGATTTTCGTTGTGAGGTTATGAGAGACACCTATACATCCCAAGATGTTTAAAGTATTTTTTTCTACCTTAATGTCCACATGTACCAACCGCTTGCAAGCAATGTCTTGGCATCCATAAATTGAGGACATGTAGCACTTGCATACAAGCTTCACCTTGCATCTCTTGATGGACAATAGTGTGAAGGTTGTGGCCAATCCCACAAATATAACCCTCTGCACAAGAAATAATCACTCTTGGGTTTATGTTCTTGTGCTTGTTAGAAGTTTCGCCCTTGACTTTCTTTTCCTGCCTCGTGGTGGCTCCCCATTCTTTAGAAAGCTACTCTTTTTTGGCTCTCTCAATTTTGATAGCTCCTTCCTCAAATTCACCACAAACTTGGCTTGGCTTGGGCAATGACGCTTGATAGATCTTGGACTCCACATCTACTAAGCTCAATGTTTGCCTATTGTTGTAGCCCATCCATGAAATAAAAAAGTAGATCTATTTCTGGCAAATTGACAACCCCAACGTTCATTGTTCTTGACTCCCAAGTTGTTGACCATTGATATCGTCATAAAACTATGAGAGGCCTACGTATCTACCAAGGCTTTTAAGGTATTTTTTAAATACATTCACATGCACAACCCCTTCAAGCAATGTTCTTTGACTCCATGGAGTTGCGGACATGTATCGCTCCCATACGAGCTTCACCTTATATCTCGTGATAGCTTGCTTGTTTGACAATAGCATGCAAGTTAGGAGCAATATTGCATCCAATTACTCCCTCTACACAACAAATAATCCATCTTGTACTTCCACATCTCTATGCTCTTGCTTGTTAGAAGCTTTAACCTAAGACTTCCTTTTCTTGCCGCAGTGGCTCCCCCAAGCTACACTACATGGATCTAAGAATTTTGATGGCTCCTTCCTCGAATCCACCATTGACTCAATTTTGGAAATGACGTTCAATACATCTTGGACTATGTCTATTGAGCTCAATGTTAGTTCATTGTTGCAAAGCATCCATGATATAAAAGAGTAAAACCTTCTTCGGACATTTCCAGGATTTTTAATGCAAGGGCCATGAACTTTTCAAGTGGTCCCTAAAAGTGTTTGTTTCTTTGAGTCAATGGAGCTTACATTGTGCCTCCTTTTCAACATTTTTAAGGCAGAATTAGTTTAGTTCATGAACAAAAGGCCAAGAATCCATGGTGCACGTAACTTTGGAAGACTTCAGTCATGTTATTAAGATACAATGCAACAATTTGGATCTTATTCTCATCCAACATGATCTTAATTATATGTAAATATTCCACTCCCCAAATGAAGTTGTCAAGCTCCTTCGAGTTCCCGTTGTCCATATAAGCTTTGGGATTAGAAGTATCCACCTATTAAGTTTGATTGGAAGTCCCTTTCCTAATAGAAAATGCCTTCTCGCAAACGTAAACATTTGCATAGGCCTCAACTAGTTGTTCCTTCAACATGACCAACTCCTCATGTTGTAGATGCATAAATTGAGGTGTCATACGAGGGAAGAATCAAATTTGATTGACTATATCTTTGAAGGCTTCAATAAGAGTCGAGTCTTCCGCCCTGTTCTTGAAGTTTGTTCTCCACAAGCTCCAATTTTGACCTCGGTCATTGCTAAAAGACTCCACCTCTCGACTTATCCTTCCAAGTAACAGCCACGTTCTTGAAGCAACCCCTTTGACAACCCTCCCGTTGCACCTGCTATTGAGCCTTTGATGGAACAACTAATTGCTCGACCTGGCATGTGATTGCAATGTTCTTGTCCTTTCCTTCGTTATAGGGTTATTGATTTGCCTAAACCACATCAAGATGCTAAGTCAACCACTTCCAAAGAGCACTTGCCTAGATTGGCCAAGTAAATCAAGATCTAACCCTCAAAGGATCAAAGAGAACAAGAATGCAAGTTTGTCATGATGGAACCATCTATAGTTATGTTTACAAGTGAGGGTTCCTTATAATTCTCTACAGAACATAAAGAAAAGATGGGAGGGAGGATTGCCATGTAAGGTGCATGTCCTCACCAAATAAGTGTCAACTTGCCCAACATCGAGTTAGTTGTGACATTAGGATTCTTTTTGACCATTTACCATTTTCGTTTGTTTCCTATTTATGTGGTGCAAGGATTAATGAAGATATGGTCCTGGTGAAGTTCACTTGATTGGGAGAAAACAAAATAAAGTATGAGAAAATGTTAAGAATGAATGAAACCTTAGTTTCATGATCCATTGGTCATCCATGCAATTTGACATCACCATTTCCAATTGTTCTATCATGAGGGGATTACTTATCAATTTTAGGGAGCTTTTCTCATGTCATCATAACTAGGGTCTTACAGACATAAAGCAATACTGGAGGAGGTCCAGATGTGATTTTCCCATAATCAGTCTTAGCAATTGTATATCACAAGTTGACTCCGAATGTATAATCTTTTGAAGCAAAAGATCACAATTCACTAAACTGGGGTTCTGATAGGCAACATGATTCACGATTTAACGCTATGCATATAAATTAATATATCGAAACATGTAAAATTTGCAAAGCAGAACTCAGCAAAAGTTTATATAGCAATGATATGAACCAGCAGTAATAAAGAATGAGGTGGCAAAACTAGTTACCTGAAAGTGTGAACTGCTCAAGCAGTGAGCGATCTGGCGAAACAAAGGCACCATACATCTTTGAAATTCTGGAGGCTGAGTAGCTTCTAAAACTTCCTCAAGCTCACTCAAGAACATCACCTCTTTGGAACTGTTTGTGATAGGCCAATACTTCAATAAACCTCTAATAACAGTATCAGCAAGTTTGCAGTCTTTTTCAACGAATTGGGTGATGCAGTAAGATAACTGCTGATGGTACATCGGTATGCATTTTGGCTTGTGAAGGGGTATTAGTGCCCTCACAAGAAAGAGCTTGTGCTCTTCCTTCAACGGCAAAGCAAAACCATTAATAATGCTGCCTAGAATCTCTAGGAGCTCTGCAATTCCATTATGTTTTTCAGTTTCAAAAATGAACCGAAAGAATATATTGTTGATGGCTTTCCTGATATATGGACGGTGTACCATGAACTTTCCATACATACGATGGAGTACAAATTTCAAGTACTCGCGTTCTCTTGGATCCTCAGAGTCAAATAAATCCAGCCACCTCAAAATAAAAGCATGGTCAATATACCTTTTAGCCAGCTTCGCATCTGTCTCTGGTGATGCTACAAACCTTAGAAGGAACTCGTACACTAGTTGCAAATGAGGCCATGCTGGATCCATGGACGGCTCCTCTTCTTCCCCATCAAAAGTTTCCAACACTTTGTTATCACGAGGTTGTGGAGTGAGTCTCCTAAATATGTTTATTGACACCATCTTCACAATTTCTTGCATGACAGTTTCTGAAAATTTCCCATTTGCAGAAGAAACATAATCGACAAGTTCAACCAAAGTCTGTCTTTTGATCTCCTTTTCTTTTAGATTCTTTGTTGTGTCAGTGAAATCAAACACAACAGAACACATATTCAACTTTCTGATGAACAAGTTTTGCTTCTCAGAGTTTGGAACATCTTTGAAGCTAGGCAAAGCCTCGTAGGCAGTAGAAACTGCCGGATTGCCATTCAACTTTGAATTCAAAGCATGGTCAAGCTTGTTATTGCCATGATTTAGCCCAGCTAGCCCAGTACCTGAAGCAGCATGAAGAGTTTGCCCATGACCAGATGCAGGATTCGAGCTACCAGATCGACTTAATGCTGCATCACTATTTCCCCTTGAACTGGTTGATGCATTCGAAGATAAATTAGAGTTTCCTCCATCTCGATTATCGGTTGACTTATGTGTCTTCCGGGGGATCCTATTAAGTATCTGTTTGATCATCACTTAAATGACAAACTACAATGTCCTTGGCTTAACCTAGACCAAAAGAAATTGCTCTTGGAGTTGAATGCTTCTTATAAATAACAAAAAAATGGCAGGATAACACCTATGGAACAGCATCAAAGAACCACATGCTCTTGAAACCCATCACAAGTCGGCTTCATAACGAAATCAGCATCCAAAACACCAAAGATAAAATCTAAATGTGACCTAGCCAAAGCTTGAAAATAGACTCCTCCTGCGAGCAAACAAATCCAAATATTAGGTGCGGAAAAAAAAATAGATCCAATAATGCAGAGACCCTTGAAATCAAAGCTACGATAATTCATTGACCAATTCCAGTTAATCAAGGAAAACAAGTAATCATAGTTTTCAGAAGAAAGTTCAATTTCCGAACCCTAAACCGAAACGATTTTCCTGTAAGTCGTGAGGGGGATATGGACATATCGTTTATTCCTTATCACAATTATTCCGAACCCACTGATTTAGATCAAAAAGACAACAAGATCTGGGCATGATCCAGGATACCCACATAGCAATCTTCATAAAGAATCGCGTAAAAGATGAAGAGGATGAAGAAATCAGAAAAGGAAAAGGGGATGATGATGATGATACTTACGCGAGGTTTGTTGTTGAAAGCAGATAACAAAGAATATGATGAAGAAAAAGTCAAAAGAAGATCAGTGAGGGAATTGTGAAAACGATCTTCAATTGAGGAGAGAAAGATGAGAGAGAAAATGGGTTATGAGAAAAGCAATCTCTGGTTCTGGTCTAATTGTGTTTGGTTCGGTAACAAATTACAACCATTTTTTGGTTAATTGCTGTCATCTCTCTTCCCCTCTCCTTTTCCAACAACTGTTATATTACCTTAAAATTTATTATATTAAACTCTCTTTTAAAATACAAAAAAAAAAAAATTATATATATATATATATATATATATCTTACATCTGGACTGTAATGTTTTAAACACATTATTGATTAGAGGTGTTTATGGATTGGATTGATCGGGTTTTTAAGCACCCATACTACTAATCCTTTGTTTTTAAAATAATACATTTATATAGACATAATTAATCAAGAAATAATTCAATTTGAAGCAACTCGATGTCTAACTGAGTTGTAAAAATTTTCAATCATGGGTATTGGATTGATATTAATTTGAACTGAACTCAACTCAACCCGATATCTTTTTATTTCTTGGAATTTAATACGATTGTTGAGTTTATATTAATATGTACATTAGACAATTACATTATCACGTACTCTCTTCGTATACACACATATGTTTAATCTATTCTCCATCTCTATATAATTCATTCATATATATGTTTAGTAACTGTAAACATATATATATATAAATTAAGAAAATTAATTGAATGTGATATACGTAAGATTTTAAAGAAGTATGGATAAGTTAAATCAAATGGTTATTGATGAATAAGAAATTATGAGTAAGTAAATAACATATTCAAGGTTAGAAAAATATTTTAATATATTAAAGTATTAATCCGATCAACTCAACCCATAAACACCCAACTTAAACATATATTACTATAATCTTGGATTTAGGAAAACAATTTTAAGAAACAAATCAAACTTAAGACTCCCCAAGTTATGGGGCTTTTTTTATTCTCACTTGCCACTTTCATTCCATGTATAAAAAAAACCTTTTGAGTACTTGTTTTTTTAGATGAAGATTGTGAAAAAAATTGATTGAAATTTGCTTTTTTCTAACATGTCACATTTTTTTTTCCCATTTTGTCACACAAACATGTCAAAAGCCACTTGGTTTCAATTATTCACGTCTTACATCCACTTCCGTTTAAAAGTCATCACAGGTGAACCTCAATAATCACAAAAGCTATTGTAGCGTCTGGATTCGAACTCAAGGTGAATGAGATTTTCCAATACATCCCCTTAGACGACTAGAAATGACCTAGTATCGTCGCAAGTGAACCTCCATAGCCACAATGGCTTTGATAGTACCCGGATTCGAACCCAAGGTGAAACTGATTTTTCACTACATCCCCCGAGGCTTAACCAATACGCCACAACGCAAGTGACAGCACTTCGAAGCCATTTCGAATGAGTAACAACAAATCTTACACAAAATCCATAAAAATTAGTGCAATCAGTAAAAAAAAATCTACCCCAATCCATAACACCAAATCTTCCACCAAGATATAAGATTACAAGTATACTTTTTTATATTTCTCCATTGGTGATTTTATTTTTTGGAAGGTCGTCCAAGACTAATCCCGACAAAATGCAACCGTAGCCACAACCCTTGTGATTATGTTACAACAAATTCAGTATCCCCATTATAATGATTGTGTAAAATTCAGTATTTGATGTGTTTATAAGAAAATTAAGAACACTTGTATGTGAATTTAGGTAAATATAACATCTCATGTCCAACCACTGATCCATAAAACCAGATAAAATGACCACCTCAAAAAACAAAGGCAGTGGCAGCATAAATTCCCACTAAAATTATACAAACAAAGAATAGAAGCTTATACCATTTTCACAACTTCATCTCTTACTTGTAACATTACCCAACCAAAAAAAAAAAAACAAAGAATCAACCACAGATTTTACAAACTCCAATCTTGTCTTCACCTTCACAAATCAAATCCACCCACCCCCTTGATAGCAGCTTACTTACCTCATACAAGATTTAGCTTAGCTTCTGTTGTATATGCCATCACTAGACACAACCAACATGGTTGTTTAGTTGGTTGGTTATGTTGTGAGACTTAAAAGGGCATTAAATAAAATAACCTACCCCCAAAACCCAAAAGAACACCTCTAGCTTCCCCCATTGATGACGGTTGGAAGAGTGCGTGAAACCGAACAAGCACCGGGTATATTTAAATGATTAGATCACAACCCATGGAATCAAAACTAGACCAAATTATATCTTCTCCTCAAGAATACAACACCAGAAATCTTTCTACTAATGCTCCATCAAGGCCGTTTCAGTTTCCGACAGAGGTGCTGCAAATAAAAATAGTATCAAATTTTCGTAGAACAATATTTTTTTACTTGATTCCTATAGGGAAGGGAATTGTTAGCTAAGGAAAACATTCATATTCCTTTTGAGCCAAGTGCAGAAAAACAAGATGCACAAGCATGATCATGACCACTTCCATGCAGGTCCTAATTTTTCAGTGTTAAAAAAACTATATGAAATCAAATCTCATCAGCAAAAAGAACTACTGTGTTGCATTACATGCAGTAGGGGGCTATCCAATTTCAAGATCAATTCTTGAATAGTAGAATGTATAGGACACGGATGCAGTTGTCATGATGTTCATTAGCTATAAAGGTAATGACATGCGTCAGGACCCTAGTGGGTGAAACGGACTGATGGAGATAAGGCTACACCAAAGATGGCACTAAGTCCACTTTGCCTTGATTTTGGATCAGATTTCACCGAGTTAGATATCAGTGCCTTGGGTAAATGTCTACCTTCGAAAGAATTTTATGGAAGGGTCATACAGTTTAAGTATGACTATGACCTTGGAACCCGAAAATCTTCCAATGTCGATCCTAAAGAATTTCTGACGACAGAGACCAGTAAAAGGACATAAACTGTTCCAGATCGAAGACATATTTAGATATACACGGTTACCAAAAGTAACTAAGAAAGAATCAAGCAGCAAACTTTCCTCCTCAGATGAGAAGCGGTTTGTTTTGCCTCTATCTTAAACCAGATTAAACCTCAAGTCCTTAACGTATGGAACAAGAAGGTTTGTCGCTTTGGGCCATCTTCTTTCTCCTCGCTCTTGGGGTGTGTTATATGGTGTATGTGATTTGCTGGCGACATTATACTAGTACCAGAAACGAAGAGAGAGATGAATGCTAGGATTGAGCAGTGGAGGGTGGCATTGGAGACTTGGAGACTCGAGGCTTGCGCATTAGTCGATCCAAGACCAAATACCTTTGGTGCTATTTCAGTAATTAGTATAATGAAAAGGAAGCAGATGTCAGCATAGGGGAGTAAAGGTACTCAAAATGACAGCTTTGGTCGGTCCAAATATCTAGGCTCTATGATTCAGAATATAAGTGAGATTGAGGATGTTACTCATCGCATAAAGGCGGGTGGTTAAAGCTGGAGGGCGGCCACAAGAGTGTTGTGTGACAAGTCCTGCTAAAGACGAAAGGCAAAGTCCACATAGTAGCAATTAGACCAGCTAAGTTGGATTGACAGAGTGCTGGGCAATAAAGAACGTGCATGAGAGGAAGATGGAGGTGGCCAAAACGAGGATGCTCAGATGGACATGCGACCGAACCATGATAGTCAAGATACCGAACAAGGTCAATCGAGCTGAGTTGGAGGTAGCATCTATCACGGGTAAAATGAGAGACAGAAGATTTGCGATGGTTTTAACACGTGCATAGGAGAAAGCTATCATGGGATGCGTCAGGATCGAGAGGGTGAGGGGAAAGCTGAGGAGGACGTGAGAAAAACCACTGAGACCAGACAACAGCTTTAGGCATTTCGAAATACATGACCTCAGGTAAGTGTCCGTCAAGACGTAGGACTAGAATAGGTGGTTAATGGGAACAGGAAAAGGGGGTGGACAGGTAGATGGGGGTTGGGGATGGGTTAAAGAGTCAGCAGCTACTTTGTTCTCGGTTTAGTGGTTTAGTATCTCTCATAGGTATTGGTGCACTAGGATGATCAAATAGGTACCAGAGCCGTAGGTTGAGGGATGGTTATAGTATCAGCAGCTACTTTGTTCTTAGTTAGTCCAGTGGTTTAGTACCTTTTCTTCGTCCCACGCTCTAGCCTACAGTTTTCTTTCTTTTTCACTTTTTTCAACTTTCCTAACTTGCTTTTCTACCAATCTTTTATCTCGTTCCTCTATCCCAAACTTTTGTCTAACTTTCAAAACTGAATGTTTCTCATAGAATCATGTATAAGTCAGAGGTCTTTGCAAAAACATTTGAGGTAAGGTCTGCATATATCTTACCCTCCCTATATGTGGGTCTCACTAGGTTCTTTTCGTTTGGTTTGTAAGTTTTATGTGATATGCGTAATGGTTGATATGAGGTTTGCATATCCAACAAAGGGGGGGTGTATATATAGAGAGAGATTAAGTATAAAACTTAACATATGGACTTTTCCCAGATGAACATACCAAGTAAATCCTCAAATGAATCTCCCGACAGAGATGCGTCCATGAGGAAAGGAGGTGAGAAGACTTGATCTTGAGTCTCATCCAGGTCATAGAATGACAATCGTCCTTCAGACTCTGCATAATTCGAAGCAGCAGCAGATATAAATCCATTTACCCCATCATAGTCATTCAGCATATCCAAGTTATTGGACGTGTCAAGTGTGGCATTATACTTGTTCACATCTGAAACACGATTCCCTAGCAAGGAAGTATTCATTTCAGGTACAAACAACTGTTTACTTCTCGATGGAACTGATTTTTTTTCTTGGCCAACTCGAGAAAACCCTGTTCCTGAAAGAGGCACAAAGAAATGTTCAGATCCATCATCAGAATGACTATCTTGTAAATGGCCCGTATTGCTGGACCGCGTTGACAAAGCTGCTTCTCTGACAGATTTCTTCAAGTTAAGAACATAATCATTCTCATCATCTGCAGAACATTAAAGATTTGAGTTACAAAATACAAACAAAATCTTCATACTTAACAAGTACACCTGAAGGAGGGATAGAACCATATATAACCTGTTTGTGGTGTATTTACTTGGCTATTTGATACAGTTTGTTCGAGAGGCAAGTTTTCAGATACATTCTCCAAATGGTTAGTATGACTTTGAGTCTGTCTCCTGTAGAAGTTCCCACTTTTTGCAGTTGAATTTGGTGTCAAACTAAATAAAGGGGGCAGTTTTAAAGCAGTTGAACTAGATGAAACTTTATCAATATGAGTTGTTGATAATCTCGAAGTAACATCCGCGACCTCATCACTGCTACTTTCCTGGACATGAAATGTGCATTAGTACTTAAAAGAGAATTAAAAATATTTGGTAATCAACAAAAAATGTGTATAATGTACAAGAGAACTACCATTGTCCTTCCAGTGCTTTGTGCTTGAACAGGTGAGGTAGATCTACCACAGTGGTTTGTCACTTGAGGAAGGTTGGAAGAGATACTGTTCACTTCCTCACTGAGCTCCGATATTGAATTCTGTATTGCTGGGGCAACACCTTTCAATTGATTAACAAGCACCTGCACAGGGAAAACTGTGAATAGGAATACATTTTTCTTCATTTACTGCACCCAGAAGCTATTTAGCAATCCATAAGGTGTAGCCTTTCTCTTTTAACAATTTTTGAGGAAAGTAATATCAACAAGAGCGCATTCTGATAGGTGGGCATATCCCGAAGTGACCTGGTAAAAATAATACAGACTCCCAACATCAACTTATACTTCCTCCTGTGGGTATCATGTCCAGCCTAGCACTGACTACTTAAATATACAGCCTCTAATGTAATCGGGAATTTAGTTGTTGACAGGAAAATAGAATTATCAGAGGACCCTGCTGATGATGAACACAATGTCACAAAACTGGATAGAGCTATCTATATTTGAAAGCATGACAAAAGGACATATATGACCATCTTTGAGCTTTATTAAAATATTACACCAATTGAACAATATCAGACAACCAAAGGAAACACATTTGTCATGAATAGGAGAATAGAACAAACTGATAAATAAAGATACAGAGTGGAAGGGCAAGATATTAGAAAGAAAGAACTGTGAATGTGGAACTTAATTTCAAAATTTTCATAATTACAGTTTGGCTCAAACTAAAACTGATCTTCTAATCTACAGTCTTTGACAACATTGAATATAACCAGTCATAACCATTTCACATGCAGATATGCTCCCTACGTTCAATTAAATGTCCTGATTTGACTTTTGAGAGGCAAACAAACACCTTCCACTTCAAGCTTGATATAAATGTATCTCTTCTGATGCATAACACCATGTAAGAAGAGCCATAAATTTACAAAAATGTAAAAAAAATGTTCATATAATTTCAAATTTTAGAAGTACAAGGTTTGGCATTTAAAAAATAGAAATCACTTATAATGGAAAGCAGAGAGTACTATTAACATGCCTGTATACTAGCTAAATGTTGTCGATGTTCAGCAAGTGTTGTAGCTAAAGATTCAGCATGGCCATTCGTACCGCCATCATTTGCACTTCGCAGAAGATCTGGACCTTCACCATCATTTGCTTTTGCCTATAATGAAGTCAAATGTTACTTTTATCATATATCACTGAACAAGATGCATTACTGCTTTTTGATGGCATAGCCAAATCTTAGATCGATAGATGACCAGAGAAATAGATTGTGAAATCCTATATGACAAATGTAGAATCATAAACTTGATGAGGGGTCAACAGAAGTCTAAAGCAGGACGCTAGAAGCTATAGATGCCAATGGCCTTGGTGAGCCATGGTGCACTTAGAAATGTTGTATGTGTGTGTAATAGCTAGATGCTAAAAACAGAACTCAAACTAAGTCTCAGATTGGAACCAAACATAAAATTGGCACTAACCACTATACAGCAAACACTAAATTCTCTCATAATAATTCACATATAGAAGGCCTAGGTCCTTATTTGACTATCAACGACCCAATATAGCATTGAGAACCAACTACCCTTTGTAGGAAGATCATGCATTAATCATTATGATCCATGAAACTAAGTGATCGACAGGAACTTGTAGACATGATCAATGTGCTGAATAATGATGATTCAGAAGGGTGAACATGGTGGACCAAGCTCATTGGCTTTGAGAAGGTTGTCTTGTACTTAACATTTCCTTTTGCAATTTGAAAAGAGATTCTTTCCATTACTCGAATGTGTAACCTTACGATGATTCAGAAAAGTAGGGAAGTGGTCATTGAGAACAAAATGTACTCAAAATAAAGAAGAAACATAGATGCATCTAATATAGAATACCAGGTGAAGCGACTGTTTATGTATACGCTGTAGGGCATGAGTCCAACGCCTCAAAACTTCTGCTATATCAACTGTCGGCTGACCTCTTCCACTTCGATCATCCACCCTAGATGTTTTTTCATCACTGGCTTGAGGTTGAGAAGAACTCAAATTTTCGTTCACATTTTCTCTATTTACTTTCACTTGTGATCTATCAGCTTGTTCCTTCTCTAGATCAGCAGAGGAGACTTGATTGCTTTCATCCATAGCGGCAAGAAGAGATGATCCAGAGATTCGGTATCTACCAAGCAAACATCACAAGTATATGAAAAAATGCCACTAACAGAACCAAAAAGAGTGACATATAAGAACTGATTCAGGGATAAATACCGATGCTCCCGATGTGCTATCAGATCCTCAATGGGGCCTGAGGCAAGAACTTCATGTTGACCTGCATCGAAACATAACTTAGATTAAACTAACTTACAAAAACGTATGGACACTACAAAGTTCGAAGCTAGGAAATATATATGTTTTATATTGGTAATTTCATGAGACAGCTCTGTGCTATTTTCTCAGTGCATCCTGTTTCCCAAGAAAAGAATAGAATGGGTTAAATGAAAGATCCATTAGAAATTCAAAAGTTAGTTGTCAGAGACAGTGCAAGAATTTTACACTGCCACAATACATATAAGCTATAAACTATCGACATACTTTAGTTCAGGTGCACGTGATTACATGAGTGTTTATTCTTCACACAACCACTAAACAAGTTAATGTCCAAGGACTCTGAAGCATAACTAATAGTTACAGGGTGCATAGTTTTCTAGAGCAATTCAATTATGTTGCACCTACAGATCTCATATGGAAAAAGTGTAGCACACTGAACACAATAGAAATGTTCACATTGAACTTCATTTTTACCAGGACACTTCTTAAAACAACTATACACACACAAAAAATCCTTTTGAGAGGTTGATGCACAAAGAGGGTGACAAACAGATAAAATCACAATGACAATTAGGTAACATGCTCCAGGTAATTGTGGAAGGATGTTGATAGGGCATGTACCAGATCATAATTAATCTCCTTCCTTACTCCATAGAAATCATTCTCACTAGTCGTTAGTCCTTTACCTCTGTATCATTTAACTATCATTACTTTATTGACATATAAGCTACAAATTTCTGACTACAATAATGTGGTCATACTGAGGCATAAACTGCATTTGACTAATTAACGTACCTAAAAATTACATAATGTCATGTTGATGGTAAACCACCTCAGGAGTCAATTAAAGATCAAGAAAATTGAAGCAAGGAGGAAACTGTGAGATGATTTCACTTACTCTTGCGCGATAGTAGAGAATCCCACAAGCGAGTAGCCCTCTGAACCAGATGAGAATTCTGACTTGAGCTAGATACAAGTTCATCCCATGGTTCACCTTCCATCTTCACTTTGTTCCTCAGGTCATGTAACTTCTCCAACTCTTGCTGCAAATATGCCTGAGCTCCAAAGAAAGGAAGGATGTATATATTACACAAACTATACATGATGTCATGATCTTTAAAGATTATTGAATGTCAGGGTGATGTCTACAAACTGTCATGTTTACCTCTTCAGCACAAAGACCGCGATACTCTGCTGTCATTTCATGAGCCAAATTTGACCACATAGCCTGTCTCTGTACTGCTGTCTCAGCATTCTTCAGAAACCTTCTTCTCTCGAGAGCTATTCTAGCCTGTTCAATGAAGGAAGCAAATTTAGGCTTCAGATAAACTTGCTTATAGGCATCAAAATGCAAAGGAGACATCAAAATGATGTATCCAGTCCCAATGATGAAACAAGCTTTGGAAATCACCAGCCTTTAGAAAACTGATAGCTCTATCTTAGCAACCCTGAAAATTTAGTAACTTCTTTATCGGCTTAAACTTCAAAGAAAAGCAAGATCAATAGACACCATGGCAGACCAATGGCCTTACAAGATCGGTAGTGGCATACGATAGATATGAGGCATAAGTATCCATGTTTTCGTAATATCAATACATCATGTGAGCAAGTGCAATTAATACAGGTGTGACATTGAATGGCACAAATAACGACTCAGGCTTACTGCCTCTGTCAACGAAGGTATCTCCAATGTTAATAAGCTTGAAAACTTACTTTAAGGTAAAAAAATACATATGTTTAAGTGTTTTTATATGAAAGAAACAAACAAAACGAACTTAGTATATCCTACTTGGAAGTAGGATCGGGGTGGAATGTACGCAACCATTCCTCTACCTAAGGGGTAGAGAGGCTATTTTTGTAGAAACCCCTTCTTGCAAAATATTATATGATAGGAACCAAAATGTAAATATGATGTACCTTTGTTACAGGAAGAAGAGTAGCTGCATGTGAGAAAGCTACATCGGTCAGGGAAGCAGGTAGCGGGTTTGAGACTACATCTGCTGCATATGTTCGTCTATGAACTTCTCTCAAAGCATGCAAAGAGAGTTGCCACAATAGTTCCACAAATCTGCAAACGTCATAATTTATATCAAATTATTTGTTGGTTTCAACCTGCCTGTGTAACACAATTAGAACAATTCCATTTACAATCAGACAAGCAGGAGAAATACATTCATCAAGACAACATACATGTAGGATGTTAAAGAAACAAAGTTTGGGGATGTCGTTTCTTAGTGAACCACTTCATTTACAACTTAAACCACAGAAATTATGTAGCTGACGATATGTTCCTTCATCCTTCACTTCCAACTTACAGGGATCTATTAGGTACAATTGAGACTGCAATTTCATATTACCACCTTACTTCCATTTCTAGTTTGTTTCCAAGATAGGAAGCTTGGACATGAAATTGAAATCTTATTTGACCAAAATTTTATGGAGGAGCTCAGAAAACATAAGCTTCCAAAGATACTTTCCTGCTCCTTCATTACTTCTCCACTAGGTTTTTCATCAGAAAAGCAGGATACTGGCTCTAGTTAGCATGATCCTTTCTGGAACCTTCATGAAACTTAACAAGCCGGAGATATATCTTTTCAATTTTCTTTTTCCAGGAACATGAAGTGAAGTTAATGATATTAGATTCAGCAGCAACACAATATGACCTTTTAAGGTTTGAATAAAGACAGATTAGGGTGCCTACCATGCAATTATCAATAAAGAAACTGAAAGATCATATTTGAAAACCCTATAAATATAGATAGGCACTACTTGTAGTTATGTATAGCAGTTACCTAAGTATTCTTTTACTGCAAGCTTATTATTTATTTCCACAGCAAAACATGGGAATATGGCTATAATACACCCCCACTTTGCAGAATGATATCATTTCCTTTTTTCCTGTATGATAAGCTGCGCAGTTTACTTTGTGCACTCCAAAAATCTTTGAAGGAAATTTTGATGTATCTACAATTATTACTGGCAATACTAGTCATATACCACAAAAACTAAACCCAGCAATATATTACTGGATAACTTTCCAACTTTCAGGATTAAATGACCAATGCCAATAACTTAATCCAACATCACATAATTGCCACCTTCCTGACAACATACAGCAATAACAGTCTTATCCATCCACCCCCCAACATTCCTTCAAAAAGCTTTGTGATAAATAACACATAATGCCAAGGGTTAACATCATGTGGCATCAATTGAACACAAGCTAATAGTACTAAAATTAAAAGTAAATCCATGGACAGATGTAAGAACCATCACGTCACCAACCAACCTCGGTCCACAACATGTAGCCAGCGATGAAACCCTCGAATTACTTCTCGGGAGCGCCCCTTGCGATTCCAACTCACTTATGATGCCTTGTACAACCTAATAACAAAGAAACCCCCCAAATATTAACATCAAACCTACTATTTAACGGCTTAAATCCAACAATTGAACAGAAAAAATACCTTCCGGAAATCGCGAGATTGAGTAGAATCAAAAATCGGCCATACTTTATCAAAATCCTGAAAGATCGATCTCAATGTCAGATAAAACAAAAGAAACAGATCGTGATTGTACATAAAATATAATCAAAAGCTGCAACGAGAAACGTATGTTAACGTGCCTTTGGACCTCGGAGAGAGGACAATATAAAGTATAAAAGCTGTTCACCCAATTTAGGGTTGGAGTGTCGGAATAACCCCACCCGAGGAGTACCGTTATTTGCTCCGACACCGATGATCGACGGATCAAGCCCTAACAACAAACAGTTGGTATACATCGCACTCTCTAGTTCTGTCTCTCTCTCCTTTTCTCGGTCCATCGTCATCAACCATAAGCTTTCGCCCTCTCTCTCTCCCTCTGTATATATAATCTCTCTCTATCTCTCTACATCCACAGCCTGCTTCTCATCTCTCTCTCTGTATCTCTCTCGATTTGATTTTTGCTTAAGAAGATTTAGTTATGTTTTGTTACAAATCAGGTCCCTCGTAAATAAAAAATGTTATAAAATAGCCCCTGTTTTTTGAGTGCTTTTGAATTTTGAAAATGTTAATGGTGGGACCGGGTTGTTACATAAGGTTGTCACGTTTGCTCGTGCCGGACGGGTAGAATTTCAAATGAGACTGTCGTGCTCTAACATGCGCCGGGGTTGTTTTAAAACTCGATGTTGCCGTCCAACAACAATTGTTTTATGCTGCGTACGTTATGGGCATTTCAGCCATCGGTGTCTTTTTTTTTTTTTTTTTTAATATAATCGCACGTATCCAAATCAATTTATGTAGAGTTAGATTAAGGGGACGTTTACCCAATTGCTTACCTTAAGCGCTTACTGATAGGAGTCAACATTATGATTTATTTTGATGTGCAAGATTTTAGTACATCAAAACATATTGAATACAACAATTTACTAGGTAAGAATCGTCATCCTCACTTACCGGGTAAGACTCTCCATCATTCTCATCGCTCTTACCGGATAAAATTCTTGGCCCTTTTCATGTTTATCTGATATTACCAAACAAGTGTTTAGTAAACGGGCCCTAAGGTGGTGTATGTTTTTTAAGATGTGCTCAAGTTTGATTTCATGCCTGATTTATAAGAGGTGGTCCTGAAGTCTGATTTATAAGAGGTGGTCCTGAAGTCTGAAATCTAGATTAATAAGATTGTTTATTTTTACCTCTGAAATCTGAAATTTGAATTGGCCAAACTAGTTCAAAAACATAAAAGATAAAAATATATATATATATATATAAGTATAAAAGATAAATAGTTTTTGCTAACAATTTTCTTCCAGCCTCCAAAATATGAACCATTTGATAGAGGATGAATTAGGATTAAGAGGTATTAAGGGATACATTTACCACATAAAACTTCAGATGACATTTAGAGATTTTGATCTCTTATTTTAGAAATAAAACAAACGCTCTTAATACTCAAACGTCTGAATGAATCAGACTTCAAAGGTATCAAGAAGTAAATTTGAAAAAAAAAAAAAACAGACTCTAATCCCAACGATATTGAAAACAGTTACAAAAATTCTCAAAGACTCCAACCGAAGTGGTTGACCAAGATGGCACGGGTCACCGCTTCGTTCCTCTATTGTAGTGTAAAGAATTATAAAGTCGTGAAAATTGTCATAGTATCAATTTGTTGTTTTTCACCGTATGTATTTTAAAACTACAAATGAAAATACAAGATTCTTTTGGTAAAATTTGCTTGCAAGACTTTTCTTCCACCTTAGACCCAAGTTTGAATCTCGTTAGTGTTTTTTCTTAGTTTTTAGTTTTTAATTTCAAATTTATTATGTTCATGAAGGGAAAAAAAAAGTTGCAACTTAAAACTTGAACACATATGAAAAATAATTAACTAACCAACAAACTAACGATTTTGGAAAAAAAAAATCCCAATATATGTTTCGAGGTATGTCTTTGTGATTGACGATTGCGTTTCTTTTCTTATTGTTGAACGAAAAAAACAATTAATTTATTTATAATTTTAATTATTAACAAATTTTACATGAAAGAATTAATGTTTCAAACATATAAAAACACACTTCATATAAAATGTGTTTTAATTTTATTGACAAAAACCATAATCATGTTTACAAGATAAATATGTTGAAGAGGGTTATTTGGATACTATAAAAAGGTAAAATGTATTAACATATGGTGTTATTAAGCCTATACAACCAATATATTATATTGATCTTCATAGTTGAGAATCTAAGAACATATGCACTACAGCAGTCCAATTAAATCTAATATATAAGATTCACTTTGGAAAGTGTGATATTATAAAAGTAATTTTGGAAAAATATAATTTAAGCAAACCTTTATGTTTTAAATTAAAAAACATTATCCCTATTTAAAAAAAAGATTGTTCCATAATCAGTTTCTGATCAAAACTACAGAGGCGGAGATGTTTTGGATCTAAAACAAAACCACAACGAAGTTACAGGTGCCACGGTGACAACAATGGAGGACTAGGCAAAGGGCGACGGCAAGTGGTGTATGGTGATGAGATTGAAACTTTGGTGAGCAGTCTCGAATAAGGATGTATTTAACAAGTTTTTAAAAGTCCAAAGATTTAGGGTAGTTTTTTGAGTTTTTTTTTTATTTGTAGTTTTATCTTGGAGTTTATATTTCTAAGGGACTGTTTGACAGTTGTTAAATGGTTAAGTGTTCAAAATGATTAATAGACTCTTATGATGTAGTGCAAAAAGAAATATAATCGTTTGATAATTGTTTAGAATGAAATTAGGACGCTGAATGATTAAGGGATACCCAATATACAAAATCATTCAAATGGTTTTAGATCCATTAAGAGACAGACTTGTTTTTTACCAAACAAGATTCACCTCTTAACAATTCAGAAATTGCCTTTTAATGAAACTATTAAAAGATAAATAAACAACCCTTAAGTAACAATGATGTATTTAACAAGTTTTTAAAAATCTGAGGATCTATTTATCATATTTTAGTAAGTCCAGTGACTTATTTATTGAAAAAACTGTTCAATGACTTGATTATTTACAACAAAAAAAATCCATTGAATTCCTTTAGATTTTTCCAACTGTGACCCTAACTCGATGCCACCTTGAGGCTTAACACTTAACCGGTTCACACTAGCATCAAAAGTTTTAATTTTCCATTCTCATTTCACAATAAAATATTACGGGGTATTTTGAATTGCTTATTTGAAACAACTTATAATTTTCTACAAAAGCATTTATCAACTTTTTACAAGTCAGAAGGGTTTAATTTCTTCAAGAACTTCTTATTACCGGTTTGACACCAGTATAAGTTGTTTATCCCAACACTCAAAAATGTTTATTACCAATGTCACACCAGAATAAATCAATAAATTGTTTTTATAAGCAATTCCAAACACCCCTACATCACGTCCTATCCCACTAGTAAATAACCAAGTCAATCGTCCAAATTTATTTATTTTAATAAATTATCTGCTACAAAATAATTTAACATCTAAACAAGTTATAATTCTTTTTCTAAATAAAAAGTTATGTTTCTATAAATGAAAATTGATTTATCGAATGATTCAAATACTCTCAATCTAGCCGAATAATTCTGCAAATTTTACACATCAAAACAAAATAAGGAAAATGTTGATAGTTGATTGATTCTAAACATTCTGTAAAAGATAAGATATCTTTAAATATAAAATTCAACATCAATTTCTTCTATGTAAGTTTAGGTAGCGACTCTTTATAATGACCTAGAGATTCTTAGTTTATATTTATATATAATTACTAAATTATTTTTAAAAAAAGGTGGGAAAAAGTCGTGATAACAATATCTTAACGCCTAACTAAATAGAATTTTAAAACCTGATCAGAATGAACATCAACAACCTCTACGTTTTCTCAATGCTTATAAAATCGTGTCAAATTTTATGATAACTTTGAAAGAAAAGAAACCCTACAAATTTGCTCTTCTGGAAACCATGCTTCATAAGATTTGAAGTTTGAACATCTTTACTTGGCTCGGTCTGGCAAGAAGATCTGGAGATGTGCCATTTACCGAAGGCCTAACGGGTAAGGGTAAGCGTTTACCGACAAAAGACATCACCCTCACTTACTTTATTGTACAATATTTTCGGCCATCAAAACGAATTGTCGGTATGCATCTTAAACCAGGTAAGAGTCTTTCCCCCACTTATCGGCTAAGACTCTCGGCCCTAACTATACCTCTGACCAGGTAAGATTGCCAGTCCTTTCCGTGCTCAATCAATGAGGTAAGTGATATCGGTAAGCACTTATACGGTAAGTATTCAGTAAACGACCCCTAGATACCATGAGGATTCATGCTAACGGCCACACAAAGTTGCAAAGGAAACAGCCTAATCATAGGAAGCAAAAGAAAACGATAGATTCTATCTATAATGATGTCATTAACTCGAAGGCATTACACCAAATTTGCATACCCACAAGTAATCCCATCAACATAGTCCTCTGAATGCAATTGCTCTTGTTATTCTCTCACAAAAAAGAACACTTCCTAAATGTCTAAAAATGTGCATCACAAATTCAACCAACCCTTCACACAGAATAACTCCTGTCACCACATGAAACAAGTAAGCATTCAACACAAGATATTAAATAGCAGTATAAATCATCCATTATACGGGTTTCCAGAAACAGAATGAAACATCACATACAAAACCTATCTATCCAAATATACAAAAGTGTAAACATGTAGTTTATTTTCATTGACGTATCAAGCTTTGATAATATTTATTAATTGATGATTCCATTTTAGCATGATATTGCACGGTTCCACGTATCAATGAAGTTTGTTAAAACCCATTTCTCACCTATTCCATAAGGTTAATATACCATGTTGTACTCCATGTGTATGTTCATTCATATTATTGCATCATATAAAAGAGTTTTGGCATGAGATAAATATTCATGACACAAACAACGTTGTGAATAAGAAGTGAGATTTGCAAGGTATGTACTATGTAGTATTTCTTGGACACCCTTTAAAATTGGTGAATTATAAGAGTTAGGACTGTTTGTTAGCATCCTAATGGGACACAAAGCTTATTAGGTCAACTATTAGATATTGTTTGGTAGGGCTTAATGATATAGAATCAGTAGCCAAGTTTTTTCCAAACCTGCCTCAATTAAAAAATACACCTCTTCCATCTATGAAAAAGTCCTCCCAAAAGAAATTCTTTCCAATCTATACAGACAGATTAATCCACAAAGACAACTCTATCCATACATGACTTAATAGAAAACCAACCAAACAACCCCTTAGACAAGACCTTCTAAAGAGCATGAGAAAGTCACACATCATTTAAATTCTAATATAAATTCCATACTTTATTGTTAATAGATCGCTCTTATAGACCGTTGAGCTTGCTCATGCAACTTTTATCTATATTATTTTCAAGGTCTAATAAGGAAGTTTCAGGTTCCAAGACCAAGGATGTGGTGTTAGAATTTGCTGGACTCCTAATATCTTCGTTAACGACTAGGGATTTTTACAAGTTTGTTTGTAAGAAACGTCAAGTTAATGGATTGTAGTAGTGATCTTTTTGTGGACAATCCTTATTATGTATGAAGAAGAAGTTAAGATATGCAAGTTAGAAATTAAGAATGGTGCTTTTTGGCGATTGTGATAACTTATATGATGAATGTGCAACAATGACTAGGGTTGTTACATCAAAAGCCATAGCTACCATAGAGTATATGATCATATCAGCATTTCAAGTACATAACTACATATCACACTTGAGTTGCAACTTACAAGCCACAATTATTATATGGTATTTTCCCCACATGTTTTTTAGATTTCTAGCCATGCACTAAAATTCAAAATGAAAATTGAATTCAGAAATGTTAAAGAAAGCCAATTTATGGCATTGCATGCATTCTCCTGTACCAGAGGTGTTCATCGGTTGAAATCTTATGTATTTAAATGGATCCGATCCAATCATCCAATAGATGTTGGATTTTGTCACCATTGGATATTACTATTAGTTATCCATCTGATCATATTAGATTCATCCAATAATTTGATACAATTTTCAACCAATTAATAGACCGTTTCAACCAATTATTCATAGCTTTTCATAATTTATTAAAAACCACTACGTATAAATATCAATTAAAAGAATTTTGTTAAATGTTATTAATTATATATAGTTATTAATTGGATGGTAGTTGGTGGGTTGGTTCGGTTTTATCGTATTCTAGATTGTCATCCAAAAAATGACCGATCCATTTTGGATGTTGAACTTTTGGATATTCGATTATGGGCGATCGGTTCTAATTGAATCCGTTGGTTTAAAATGGATCGAATGACTTTCTACATACCCTACCAGGAACATTCAAACTATAATGAATTAAGCAATATAGTAAGAAATACAATTACAGCTCATAATGCATCTCTTTCACCAGCTCAAGAAGCTTAAAAATGAAAATTAACTAGTACTTTAAATTACAATTTACACAAGCCTAAGGATAAACTGAGGTTCCATCTAAGTATACATGACCCACCCAAAAAAAGGATAACGGCAATGGCTTTTGCTATTATGATAAGTACTGTTACTTGTTCGAACAGTTACAAGGACTCAAGAAGCACATTGATAGCTTGAAAATCTTTGCAAGCAATGTGGCAATTACACAGAATATATATCCTTTCAAGAATCTAGCGATTCACAACTAACAGAAACATCAGGCAAAATGAAAAGGCCAGCGCCAGTTGGTTTTCATAGAAGGAGACAGCAAAACAAAAAAAAGCGATTATTGGTTTATTGTACAATGCTTCGATCACTTGTAACATTGAGAAAACAACATAGAGAAACACAATGACGGTGAAGTAACAAATAACTCAAAGAGTCAACTACATTAACAGATCATCATACATAGATCAGTGTTTGTCGGAATACATGATAAGATATTGTCTTATGCATCAACCGGATATGATGCTGCATTTCAGCACAGTTTATCGTTCGCAGTAACAGTAAAACTGCATAGATTTGGTATTCTTCAATTAAGCAAGATTCCTTTCCAGATCACATTTCCTAGATGGTGCTCTATTTTTTTCTTGTAGGGGAGGNAGGGGGGAGGTAGAACTCCTTCATTATGGAAGGAATAGGAGAAACATTGTTTTGAAACTGAATTGCAAAACAAAAGATCACTAAAAGTATACTAGCACAAACTTCAAAACAGCCATGTGGACTAGAAACTAAGAGCGCAGATGTTATATCATAACCACAAGGAGACATAACGACATGAATTTGAATGCTAAAAATTTGTAGAAGCTATATGGTTCGTTTATGTAAATGATTTTTAGGACTTTTTAATGCAATTACATGCTCGAAGCGGAGCTAAAAAAAAACTTCAATTTATTAGAGGGGTGGATGGATAGATGAGCTCAAAAGGTTGTATGCAAATAGTGATTTTTGCAATTTTCACGGAACTGAGGCTAAATATATCTTAGAACCAAATTAAACAAAAGCAATAGTAGAACAACTTACTCATTTAGCGAGAAGGATTAAGCCCTAGAAGCATCTGGCTCCCGCTATTTGGAAGGTACATGACACCGTTGCTCCTGGCCAATGTTGCAGAGATCTCCCTGGACGCCTCGATTCTCCTAAGCTCGATCAATCCCATACCAGCAGCAGATGTAGCATCAGAAATGAGCTTAGCGGACTCACTCTCTCCTTCGGCCCTAATAATCGCAGCTCGTCGCTCCTGCTCCGCTTTAGCAACCACAAACTTTGATCTCTCAGCCTCTTGCTGAGCCACTTGCTTCTGCTCCACGGCTTTGGAGAACTCAGCACCGTACGACAAGTGAGTTATCGCCACGTCATCAAGCACGATGTTAAAATCCTTAGCTCTGCGGATTAAGCTATCACGAACCAAAGCCGAAACGCGCGGACGCTCAGTGAGAAGCTGATCTGCGTTGAATTGAGCAACAACGGCCTTCAAAACTTCATTTCCGATCGAAGGGAGAACCTTCTCGTCGTACTCAAGACCTAATGTCTTAAAAATTGCAGGCAACCGATTAACTTCGGGACGAGATAGCACACGAAGGGTTAGGTTAACCATCTGCAGATCCTTGGTACCAGAGATCGAAGAGAAAGTGTGAGGCCTGGTACGAATATCAAAGATGAAGGGTTTCTGCAGCCACGGAACGAGGAAATGAGTGCCTTCACCGACGGTATCGTCCATGACTCCACGGAAACGATCGAAAAGGACGGCGCGTTGGCCTCCGTCGACGGTGAAGAGGGAGGAATTAAGAACGGTAGCGGCGGTGCCGAGGCCGAACGCAGCGCGTGCAATATTGGTGAGGAAGGAGACTGCAGCTTGGTTGCTACCCATGTTGCCTGAGCAAAGGGAACGCCTTGACGAGTGACGAACGACTGAAACTGATCAGGGGTTTTAGAGGCGTGTTTGGTTTGTTATTGGGCCATGCATTGGTTAACAAATTGGCCCATTTAGCTTATAATAAGCCCATATTAAAACAATTCAACGTCGTTTCAGCAACTTATTCGGTAATTCAGTTACATATTTTGTTTTTTTTATGACCGTTTATCAAATGTTTATCTGCAAAATATATCACGTTTATTTGTCTTATCAGTTAATACTTTTAACTATTAAAATGGATTTTTAGTAAATAATTTTTACTCTTAAGCGTTTACTGGGTAAAACTCTCACTTACTGTCTATCGGGAAAAATTATCGTTCATTGTTATGTTTCTTACCGGATAAAATTTCAGATTCTTGTTATGCTCACTGATAAAAACTTATCCAGTGAACTTGTGTTTTATATATTTTTATTGGAGGATTCCTTACACATATCTACGGAGACGGACTTGTAAAGTTTTTCAAGTAGTGACATCATTTGACTATAATAAATAAAAACATGGATATCTTTCACAAAATCAACATTGATCTAGTGGTTGGCTCTGTGTTCATTGTTTTATATACATGATATCATGTGTTTCAGTCTTTTTTTGCGAGTTTTTTAGAAACATAATAAATTTGAAATAAAAAATAAAAAAAATGACACTAACGAGACTCCAACTCAGATACGGTTGGAAGAAGAATTTTGCAAACCAACTCCTCAAGGAAAACTGTGTCCTCATTATAGTTTCAAAATATATACGATGACATTCAACAAATTGATACGATGACATTTTTCATGACCTTATAAGTTTTACACTATGACGATGAACGAAACATTAGCCCGTACCACCGTATGCACTACAATCGATCCGTCCCTGCACATTGACGTCAAAACTTTCTTTTACATTTTTAATATATAATTTTACATGTATATAAAAACACACTACAGTTTTAACGAAATATTGTAGGAGAAACGCTCTTAAATCTTTTCTGGCATGAAATTTTTTAGTCGGTAAATTTTAATTTGAATTAAAATCTTAAATGAAAATAAATCATTTCACTTCTCTGGTTTTCAATTGCATAAATTAAGTAAAAGCGTTCATCAATCGGTTTTTTATAATTTGGTGATTATATCAATCATATTAGTTTCCTTTAATTTGGATAAATCAACCAATTTAAACAGTTCAAGATAACAAGTTTAGAAAAAAAAAATGTAAATAATAGGCAGATATCATTAAATAACAACCAATGCACTGTCTGACAGTTGTTGAATAGTTTAGTGAAAAATGATTAAGTGGTTATAATGATTAAGATGCTCTTATAATGTAGTGCAAAATGAAATATAATTATTTAGTAATTGTTCAGAATGATATTAGGACGTTGAATGCTTAAAGGAGACTCATGATACAAAATCATTGTGAGGGTACAGAATCATTAAGAGACAAACTTAATTTTAATGTTGAAAAAGTTAAATATCTTCACAATTTCCCCCCTGCTAACGGCTACAATCGTCCACTTGTCTTCCCAACCGACCACATCAAACCCTCATCAACAATAGTCCAACACCTGATCACTGCCTCTGTTATTCTACATAAAAAAGCATCTTCAATGTGAAGCTTTTATAAGTAAAAAGTGAAGTGGTTTGTAGAAAGTATCATTGTGTAAAGTTCTTATAAAAACCTCACCCTCTTTGAGAGTTTCTGTATAAAAACTTTGGTTCTTACCATTAATTTTGTTTGAAATGACAATTTCCTAATTCTCTTTATATATTTTATTGACTTTACAATTATAAATATGATATATACAATAATTATTGATCTTGAAAAGGTAATGGGACCCACAAAATATAAGTACTTGTAAAAACTATCATTGTAGAGTTTTATTTGAGTTCTTAATTTGATGAGTTGGAGGCGAGGTAACAACAAAAAATGTAAGAAGAAGGTTCTTCTAAGTAGGGGTGCTCAAAAACCCGATGAACCCGACCAACCCAACCCGAGGTAACCCGATGCATGATCGATACAAAAAATTAGTCAACCCGATCTTATTGGGTTGGAATCGGGTCAGGCCCAAAAAACCCCGACCAACCCGACAACCCGATGAACCCGATCTTAACTTTAGCTTTGAATTGTAGATGACAATCATGACATGACCAACCTCAACGTCAAGAAAGCGAAAGCATGGGGGTTCGAAACGTCTAAAACTATTGTTGTTGATTGATGTATTCTCATTTGGTTTAAACATTTTTATTGTAATATCTAAATATTTGATGAACTTGCATATTATCTTGAATAGTCGGTTGTATTTCAAATGAAAGTTTCCTTTATTTTGTGTGATTTTATATTGTTTGAACATAACCCGATCAACCCGAACGGGTTGGGTTGGGTTGGGTTGAACTTTTGTTTGGGTTGAAAATTTTCAAACCGCCAACATTGGGTTGGGTTGTTAAAACGGCTCCAAACCGATCACCCCGGACCGTGAGCACCCCTACTTCTAAGAACCTATTTTTTGTACTTTTGTTTGCAACGTCATTTCCACCTCACTAAATTAAGATTTTTTTTATAAACCATCACAATAGTAGTTTTTATAAGAACCCATTTTGTGAATTAAATGTATTTTTTCAACATCAATAATAATTATAAAGTCAATAAAATATATTAAAAAAAAAAACTAACAAGAATGTCATTTCACGCCAATTAAGGTTAAGAATTCAAAGGAAATAAGGTTATTATAAAAACTCTATCCAAAAAAACCACATTTTTTGTTTATCAGAACATTGCATTGGATATGCTCTAAATAAGTAAAAAAAAGTGTAGTTTCTTATAGAAACCAACAGTGTACAAAAGTGCTTATAAGAAACTCACATCCTTTTAAGTTTTTGTACAATACATTTGGTTCTTACCTTGAAGTTGCTGTGGACTAATAATTTGCTAGTTCTTTTATATATTTATTTATAAATATAATAATTACTGATTTTGAAAAAATGAATGAGATTCATGAAAGAAAATTCTTATAAGAACTATCATTATAGACTTTTATGTAAATTCTTAATTTGTTGAGTTCACATAATAAAATAAATCATACAAGTTGCACGCTGCGGTATTTTCTTGCATCAAACTTCACAACTTAATTAAGTTGTGAAGGGTTTTTAAATATGCCCGCTTTAACTTTATAGTGTGTATTATGATCAATTATTCTATCTTACTTAAGAATAAACATAAGGGTCGTTTATCCAAACACTTGCACATAAATATTTATCGGTAAGAGTCAACACTTCTACTTACTATATCAAATAATACAACAGTTCATCAAACCACCATAGTATGTAACAAGTTATTTGATAAGCACCAATACTTATTATCGCTCTTATCATGTAAGATTTTCGGTTAGTGTCATATTCATTTGATAAAGTAAATCACCCGATAAACACTAATTGGAAAACATTTAATAAACATCCCTTAAACCAACTCTAAAAGTTTAGTGGCCAAATATGTATAAACATTAATGATCAATACAGATATTTATAAAACTTAATGCTATTTAATAATACCAAACAAAAAAGTTGATACGTAATTTTCATATCAATTTCCTTTTTCTATTTTGTTGATACGTTAACAACAAAAAGTCAAGCGGTGATGTGTCACGAACTAATTAGCAGGTGAATGGTTCAAAGCGTGTCATCCGAGAAAAATGAAGCATCTTGCAGAAGTCTTTATCAGAGCTTTTTTAAATTGTATAGGAACAACAATCAATTTTAATTCGAATAGTTTGCAGTGACATCCTACCCTCTCTAATCCTCTTGGTAAACCAAATGCTACAGGTCTCATTAATTCTTTTTATATAAAAAATGTTTTATGTAATTTAAACGTGTATAACAATATTATTCAATCTTAGACGTTACAATTTTCTTTAAAGACCATTTTATATTTATCTTAAAAACAAAATATATAAACCAGATCATGTCAAAGCAAAGATGAACAAGACTACCTGACCAAGAGTTCAAATTTTAAGTTAGAGACATAAGAAGGAATTGTCAATTTGTAGTCATAATTGGGAATCTGACGAGTTAGCAAATCTGGTTGAAGAGGGAAGAGATTAGCGCATTGGGATAAATTGCTTAAACATTATTATTATCAAATGGTTTATAATATACGAGAGAAGGTTGAAGAGATTAAGTTAGAATATAGGCTCAAAATCAAAATATATAATTAGGTACATGCTAAATATATAAACATTGGGCCCGAGGAAAATTAGGGTGCCAAAAACTGTTCGGAATATCGCATTGGTACACCCTACAACACAACCCTGTTCAACCTGGTAAAATTAATCAGATATATTTATTTTCTCTCTCTTACTTTCTTTATTTTTAAGGATGTATTAGAGCAAAAAACTTGTCTAAAATCTCGATTTTGTCAAGCTCAAAGAATACGTTAAAAAATTGTAACCGATTTATTTCTCATGCTCTTTGTAGCTGGTGTTCACGGTTTGAAAGTTTTTTATTACAACCCTTTTTGTACAAACTAGTTGTGTACCCGTGCAATGCGGCAGGAGTTGTGAATTTTAACGATTTTGAAGTTTCACTGATTTTATATTTAACGATAATATAACTTACACTTGGTATTTACATATTAATACAATTTGAATAAGTAAGAGTTATGGTTCCAATTACAGTCTATCGATGAAAAAAATTGTATGACAGTTTAAAATCCAATATATATAAAATGGAACATATTTAAATGACTCCACAAATGTATTCGATTTATAACAAGAGGAAATAATCAAGAGATCGAGAACGAGACAGAGAGTTCTAAAACAATTGAATGAGTAGAGAACTTTTAATGGTGAATATCAGTTTGAATCTCACCTTGGGGGATGAGGAGAAGACATAGATGTATGAGAAGGAGAAGACATGAGTGAAAGATGTCAAAAGCATATCGGGAACATGAAAAGAAAAGATAATAATGTGCATTGGTAATTTGTATTATATGTT